CCCCCTGCCCTCTCACAATGCCTTGAGCTCCCTCTGGGCTGTGACCATGTCTCCCCTCCACCAGACTATGAGCCTCTCCAAGGCAGCCGCAGGTTCCAACCCTTATTCCAGCCCTTGTGCCAGCACAAGGGTGGCACCCAGATGGCCCCAGAGAAGTGTAAGAGAGAAATTAGGATCAAAGATGCAGAGATGGGGTGGGGCGCAGGTGAGAGGCCCTAAGGGGAGCCAGAACCCATCATACCTTTATCATTCGGCAGGTCCCCCTGCAAGGAACTTCCCACAGCCTGTTGAATGGCCCGCTGAAAAAGAAGGTGGAGGGTGAAAAGGGTGGAAGGAAAGGGGTAGTCAGGGGCCATGTGCAAATGATCACAAGCTCTGCTCCTGGGGGAAGCCATTCCAGACTCCCCTACAACAAGACTCCAACCCTTCAGAGACGCCAAGGGAGTCCAGACCCCCAGCCCCGCCTCCCCCTTGGGCCCAGGAACCGGGCCCTGGAATCTGGACTCCCAGCCCCTCCTTCCCTGTGGCCCAGCATCTAACAGCCTCACCAGGATAAAAGCAGAAGGAGAAAGCATGGGGTCTCTGTCTGGTGGACCATCACTCCGATCCTCGCCCGATTCTTCTGTCTTCCCTCTAGACTCATCTTCTTCCTCCATGGTCACCTGGTGGTTAAAGGGGTGGGTGTGAAGAGGAGGCAGGGTGGGTGGGGACCGGGCTGGTAGTGGAAGTGGGTGAAGCAGGGGATGGACACAGAGCCCTCCGGGGCCTCCCACATCACCTGGCTCAGCATCCTTTAAAGCGCCCCTCCTCTCATTCCTTTCCTCATCCCATTCCTTAGGTGAGTACCAGGCTCAGTGCAGACACCACAGGGATGAGAGCAATTCTCTGCCCTTGTCCGAATTTCAGCTGCCCCCTCTGTCAAAGGGAGGCCCTCCCAGACTCCTATTTCAGCAGCCCACTCCCAAGCTCCTACAGCTTCCCCCACAACCAAATTTTAAGACTTCGCTGCCCGCCCTTCTGGTAGCCAACACAATGCCAAGGCTTTTTTCTGTTGTGCTCTCAAATACTGTGTCCCGTAGTCTCATCAACCCACCTTTCCCAAACTGAGATATGTGCCAGTTTGCTGGGTGCACCTCAAACACCACTCAACTTCCTAAAGCATCAATTTCCTACAGTGAGAAGGAACCAAAAAAACTGTATTTATATACATAAAATGGAGCTATGATAGAGTGATCTACAAATTCGGCATGTCACTTTTAAAACGAACACACTACTTTCAGGTGACATACTGTCCACCAGACCCCACGGGTCTACCTGCCCATTGTAGGAAAGCAGGGCTGAAGCCTTTGCAACGTCACAGAAATTCTCAGATTATATCAAAGTTGAAAGATGATCCTTTAGATTGGTGGGTGTCTTAGTAATGTTTCGGAAAGTATGAAGATTTCAGGTCTAAGTTTCCCTGCAACCCTCAAATCTACGACTTTGAAAACTAGATCCAGTCTCAAAGTTCCCAGAAAGCTTCAAAACCGCCAACCCCCACCTCAATATGCTTATCTGTAAATAAACACAACAGTAGTATGTGCCTCAGTGGAAGCCTGTGAGAACTGAATGGAGACTGGCTTCTGCCAGAGTCTGCACAGCCCAACTGCTCAATACAGAGTAACAATAATTATCTTTATTTTATTAACTGTTAAGGCCCACGTCTCCCCCTCATCCTTCGGCTGTATACCTGCAAAGAAAAGCCCTCTGTCCGGGTCTCCCTCCCATCACAGTTTCCCAAGCTAGCCAAAGCTCCCATAGGCAGCCTCCTAACTCTCTAAAAGCCCGTGGCACCTTCCCTAACTCCCACTGACTGAAGTCCCTACAGACAGTTCCCAGCCCTGGAGCATTCTCCAGCACCTAGCTGGGGGGTGGGGGAGCTCGTGCTATGCAGAAGAGTGACTGTCACGGAACAGAGGCTTAATCAAGATCTACTGACCACGTGCAGATCCCCAAATCCTCCGCAGGTACCAAGATGCTCCCTTGCCCATTGAGACAGGCCACAGGCTTTGCAGACACACCCGTGGCTCCCTAATCTTTTCAACATGAGAAGCCTCTGCAGACATTGCTATGTTCCTCTAGATCAGTGTTTCCCAAACCAGAGCCTGATAGTGGCACAATCCACAAATAGCTGTTATTAAAAGTAAATTGAACACAGTAGAAAATTATTCGCCATTCATAGTATTACATACTATAAGTAGTAAGCGAGAATATTAATTACTGGGGTTTTGGTATTAGTTAAATACATGTATCGGTATGTACTGGGTCTCAGTGAAAAATGTATTTCTCACGGTAGATCAAGTTTCAAAAGAGTTTGGAAAGCCCTGCACTTAGATGAGTCTAGATGATCCTACAGACTTTCCTAGGCTAATGTGCACTAATTCTGACTCTACAGCCCCAGGGCAGTACAGAATTTTAAAATATTTTTCATTTTAATTCCATTCTAAAGTGCAAGTACATGTGAGCTGGGCAAAATTTTCCTATACGTTCCTTTGTCTTATTCTCCACATGATGATATGGCCCCAAAAGACATTCGAATTTGCTCCAGGCATAGAGACTGCACTCCTGCAGTCACACTCAAAGCCACCTAGATGGTTCCAGGTCCTTCTAACTGCCTCCAGCCTCCTGTCAATCAGATTGGACACTCCCCAGACATTGGCGACCCATCCAGGCCTCTCAGCACATCTCAGTATCTGCCTACCCCCGGCTCCCCTAGTGGGCACATTCCACCCCTCTGGGTGGCCCTAGAAGACTTACTAGCCCTGGAACAGTTCTTCCAGGCCTGCTAAATGGCCACAGACCCATGTAGGTGAGCTGCATCCTCAGGTCAGCCCATGGAGACACTCCCGGCCCTAAAAGACATGTCCTAGGCGCTATAGATGGCTCTGCAGATACTCCTCAGCTCTTGCAGACCTCCTTCACCCCTGGGACATATCTCAAGATCTCAAAATGGCCCCAGAACCGTCTAAACAGACCCTAGCCTCCGGTCAGCCCATAAAGACGATCAACAGTGCCTACAGAAATGACCCAGGCCAGCTATATGATGGAGGGCAGTCTCCAGTCTCGGTCCAGTCCTGTGGACGTCCCCAATCCTCACGGGGACGCTCTGTAGGTGTCCCCCAGCACCCACAGACGCGTCCCGGGGCCTTAGGAAGGCCCCCCCGCTCGGCGCCAAGCTTGGCCGCCGCTGCCGGGTCTGAGGTCGCCCCGCGAAGCCCTCCAGATCCCGCGGCATGTGAGGAGGACCCCGGGACAACTAACGACCCGACTCCGCCCCGCCCACCCCGATAGGCCCGAGCCCCACGGCCAGGACCGCCGCCGCCATCTTACCCCGCCGCTCGGGCTGCGGCTCCGGCCCCCGGCGCGGGGCGGGGCGGACTGGGGGCGGAGGGGATCGAGAGCAGAGGGAGGAGCGGGGAGGGGCTAAAACACCGCCAAGCTTGCCGGGACTTCAAGTACAGAGCACGGTGCCGTGAAGGCTGGTGGGAAGGCTCCAGACTCAGTTTCCCAGCAGTCAGCGGGGCACATTTACAGGGGTGCGCGCAAAGCACGCCGGGAGGCGTAGTCCGCGCACGGCCTCTGTCGCGCCGGGACAGCGATGGGGTGAGAGGTGAAAATGGGCGGGGTTGCGGTAGCCCGCGATGAGGCCCCACAGTGCTCTGCGCGCGCGCGGAAAGAGCTTGCGGAACGGGAAGTGACGTAAGGAGCAATCGGCGAGACATTTGCAAGGGAATTGTAGTTTCCCAGAGTGGGCAGTATAAAATAAACCGGACTGGCTGGGAATTGCCGCACCCACGTTCTAGGGATCCCAGAATCCAGATCCTCCAGTCCCCTCTAAATTTAGAACCAAGGAGCCCGACCCTACAGCCTCCTCATTTAGGAAAGAAAGGCCCAAAGTCCAATTCCTCTCATTTAAAGCAGAGGAATCCAAACTCCCATTTCTCTCCTCCCTCGGATTTAGGAATCCGAGATCTTCCTCCTCAGATTCCTGTTCCCCACTCCAATTCTCTCGGATGCAGAATTCTAGGTCCCCAACGCCTTCCACCACTGAGCCCAGGAGACTGGGTCCCCAGCTCCTTCCTTTACGGAATCTAGTAGGTAAGGACCTCCAGATCCCTTCCTCCCGGGAACCCAGGAATCCAGGCTTCCAAGCCCATTCTCTCCTAGGAACCGAGGGGTCTAGGCCCTCAGCTTCCCCCTGCTCCAAGACCCAGAAATCCTAGCCCTAGGCCCTTCATGACCCAGACGTCCCGGCTTGGGCGAGCTGGCTCATGGATTAGGAATGCAATGATCTCACGGCCCCTCCCTGCCCCGTTACCCGGCTATCCCTCTCCAGGGCCCCATCTCCCCTCCCAGTCTGTCTTCCGCTCGGCTGGGACCCCGGGAACCGGAAGCCTGGGTCCCTTAGCGGGCGGAGACTCCAGCATCCAGGTCTTGAGCCCGGATAATTGAGCTTGGATAGATTCCTAGGAGAGAGGTGAACTCCCCCTCCAGACAGGCTCCTTTCGCTCAGCGCGCCTATATACGGCCGCGCGAGTCGGCGAGCCCCGCCTGCTAGAACAAGCCCCCTGGGATGGGGCCGGGAGAGGCGGTGTCTTAGCGAGCTCATTTGCATAGCCTCTCCCTGAAGGATCTTCTCGACCCGTGTGCAGAAAGAATGAGACGTCTATTAGCATTTCCCCGCCCCCAGACGGCCCACCCACCGAAAGCGCGTGGCGCAGATCTGGGTGAGCCCAGCTCTTATTAGCATGTCCCCGCCCCGCTCGGAATTCCCCTTCTCGGAGAACGCCGTTCCCCTGCTCTTATTAGCATAACCCCTCCTTTTCCCTGGTCCTGCCTCCTCCTTAAGTGTCCCGAGATTGGAGCCGTTCTCCCGGAATCATGATTATGCAGTAGCCTTATTTGCGTGGCCCGTCCCAAGGCCCCACCCAGCACCCCCTCAAGGCGGTAGCGGCGGCGGCGGCAGCGGTGGCGACATGAGCAGCGGGGCGGCGTCCGGGACGGGGCGGGGGCGGCCCCGGGGCGGGGGGCCGGGGCCCGGGGACCCCCTCCCCAGCGAGACACACAAGCTGGTGGTCGTAGGCGGCGGCGGCGTGGGCAAGAGTGCGCTGACCATCCAGTTCATCCAGGTAGTGGGCCCTCACCCCGGGGCGGGTGGGTGCCCCCGGGACCCAGAACTGAGCCCTTTGGGGGATCACTGAGACCCCTATTTACCCACTATCCATCACTGAGACCTTCCTATGAGACTTTCTGATCTTAAAAAATCCCCTCAGACTGTGACCCCGAGGCCCTTCGCGCCCTACACAAGGGACCTTCTTCCTATACTAGAATCCTGAGACCCCCCCTATCCAAGACCCTGCTTCCCTGCAGACCTAACCCTGAAAGCCTCCTAGGAGCACCCTAAATCCAGAGTAGTTCTATTCAGACCCTAAGCACACTCATGAGCCCCCATGGCACTAGGTGCCACCTCCTCCAACCGTGAGCCCTATGTCCCCCAAATCTCGGATCCCAGCTTCCCCTCTGAGCCACCCAGAACCCAACCAGGAGAAGGCCTGTGCCCAACGCTCTTGAGATTCCCCCAGTCTGGATGCTCGCTACTCCAAGGACCCACCCCAGAATCTAGAAATTATGCCCAGACTTTGTCCCTCAGGCTCATCAGGGACCACCTAGTCCTGAGAGAGGCACCCTCAGACCTAGGAGATTTCAAAAAGATCCTTCCCTTGGCCATTTCCAGAGAACCTGAAGACCCCAATCCTGGGGATCCCCCATCCCACCAGAGCCAGACCTCCATCCTCACCCAAGGAAAACCACCCACTCCTCCATCTTGAGTTTCCTCCACTCTGACTCCCTGAATGCCTATCAGAAACCCTGGGTAGCCCCCAAATTATCTCCATGTTAGAAGTCCCCAGACTCTTGACACCCCAGAAAGACCCGCTCCTTAGGAGTTTCTCTAACCCCATAAATGCACCTCTATTCCATGAGAAGCCTCCCAGGTGTGCCCAAGACACCTTGGAGCCTTACCCCCTTTTTTCACCCATGAACTTCTCCCAAAGTGCTCTTAAGACATGCCCCGAATCCCACCCCCCACAGGGCCAGGTTCCCATGCCGTCTGGGACAACCCCTCACCAGGCACCCCACTAACAGGACACAGCCCTCAGGACCCTAGCTGCCAGACCACCCCTTTTCTCCTGCAAATCCACCCCTGCCCAGGAGCCCCCCAACCCCTTTCCCAAGGGAAACCCTCTCACTGAGAGAAACCCTAAAAAGGTGTCTGCTCCTGAGATGCTACCACCGAGGCCTCTGGGCCCCCGACCCCTCAAGAGACCCCCGCCAGCACCCGCAAGGGAGCCCCTGCCTGTGTAGAGACCCCAGCCTGGGGCCTCTTGCACCCAGGGCCAGATCCAAAGCGGCCCAAGGGCCTGGCTGCAGGCAGGAAGGGAAGGGCCGGTCTGCGGGCGGGGCAGCTGCTCCGCTGCCGGATCGGAATCGGGACCTTCCCCTGGGAGGAGACACTGGAGGCTGCCCGAGGAGGAGGGGCAGAGGGAGGAGGAGGAGGAGGGAGGAAAACAAGAGCAGGAGGAGGGAGAGATACAGATAGGCAGGTATTTCGGACAGCAGCTCCCCATAACCGAGCACTTAGAATGTATGGACTATGTTAGATGCTCCTCGGGGATTCTCTGTGAAACTCACAAACACAGGACTAAGTGTAGTGCTTTTTATCCTAATATTCTGAATGAGGAAACTGAGGTTCAGAGAGGGGAAGTGATTTGTTCACTGCCACACAGCCAGGATGTAATCACAACGTGGGAGACTGCTTTACTCCAGAAAGAGAGAGAGGACCAGGAGAGGCAGAAAGGAGACTGGGAAGGGGACAGAGACCCAGAGAGGGGGCAGAGAAAGGCAGGGGCCAGCAGCAGGGCAACATTCCCTGTGGAGACACTGCAGTAACAAGTGTCCTCACCCCACCCCACCAGTCCTACTTCGTGTCTGACTACGACCCCACCATTGAAGACTCCTACACGAAGATCTGCACCGTGGATGGCGTCCCGGCCCGGCTGGACAGTGAGGGCGGCAGGCAGCAGATGGGGGGCTGAGGGCTTCTGGGGGTGGCAGGCTGGGAGCCTCGTCCCTATGGTGGCCCCCTCTCCCCTCTTTGCAGTCCTGGACACTGCAGGCCAGGAGGAGTTTGGTGCCATGCGGGAGCAGTACATGCGTGCAGGCCATGGCTTCCTGCTGGTATTTGCTATTAACGACCGGCAGAGGTGAGAGGGGTCACGGGCAGCAAGGCAGGGGAACACTGGGGCTGATCCACTGGCTGGACCTCATGCCTCTGGCCTCATCTGTAGTTTCAACGAGGTGGGCAAGCTCTTCACGCAGATCCTCCGAGTCAAGGACCGTGACGACTTCCCCATCGTGTTGGTCGGCAACAAGGCAGATCTGGAGACACAGCGCCAGGTCTGGGACCCTGGGGACCCCATCTCAGCCTGGGACGCTCCTTCCTGAGCACCTCCTGGGTCTCCTCACATCAGCTCCTGTGGTCCTGTTCCCCCCATTATTGCACGCCTCACTAGATGTGTGGCCCCCAAGCCAGAACTTCTGAGTCCCCAGCATTGCACACAGGACTTCCCAGGAGAGGTGGCCTGATGGAGAGGTCACCTGCCTCCCATGTCAGCCAGCCCCAGCCTACTGGTTCTCTCTTCCAGCTAACCTCCTACTCACCCCACTCCCCATGGCTCCCCAGCACCCCCAGGTGGAAGCCCCAGCTCTTCCACGTGGCACATGATACCCGCCATGGCCTTGTCCCTTCCTTTCTCTGCTTTGGCCACTTCCCTATACACACGGACTCCGTGATTTCCACACAAACCTCGTCCTTAGATTAAGCCTTTGGGGATGTCCAGCCTTTGAGCTTTGCTCAGGCCCCTGACCGAGGACACCGACTTCTCTGCCAGACAGCATCACACACTCCAAAGAGCATGCGACTATGGGGCCTTCCCTGACTCCTTAGACGGCACCAGCCACCTCTACGTCTCCCTCCAATCTCGTGGGAACTTTTTTACTTGAGCCTTTACCCCACGTAACCCTCGTGACAGCACACCCCATTAGTGCCTTCTTTCTGCCTCCCGGGGCTGAGGGCCACTCTGAGTGCAGGGGCCTGACGCCTCCCTGTGTCTCCCACCAGGTCCCCCGATCCGAAGCCTCTGCCTTTGGGGCCTCCCACCACGTAGCCTATTTCGAGGCCTCAGCTAAACTGCGCCTCAATGTAGATGAGGCCTTTGAGCAGCTGGTGCGGGCTGTCCGGTGAGCAGAGCCCCCTTCCTGTTGTCCTTGTCCCAGCTCCTGGGGCCCAGACTCACCAGCCTCTTCCCACAGGAAATACCAGGAACAAGAACTCCCGCCCAGCCCACCCAGCGCCCCCAGGAAGAAAGATGGGGGCTGCCCCTGCGTCCTCCTGTAGCCAGGCCTGAGGGGAACCACCAGCAGCACGAGCTCTTGGGACCAGCTGCACTCACCGAGCCTATTTCCCCATCTGGGTCTCCCAGGATACACTACATCCTCACCGTGAATCCCTGGCCCCCTTGGGGGCCACTGCCACTGTGTGCCTTCTGCCAACGCCTCCTTTCCCCACCCAAGCCTTTCTGGTTGGGGCGAGGGGCTCCCGGGCATCGGGGTCACTGCTGTATATAACTCCCCACCCCTGAGAAATAAACATCACTGCCAATGCCAGGAGGTGCTTTTTAAAAAGGAAAAAAGGGCTTGGGGGAGGTGAGTGAACTCAGGCACGCATGCTGTACAGCCTTGGTCCACCTGGAACTGCTACATCTAGAGCCCTTTGCTTGGCGGGGGTGGGGATGGTCAAGGGCCATACAAAACAGGCTGAGCCAAGCCTTTGGGACCCCACTCCCCCTTCAACCTGGTGATTCTCACCTTTTGTTTTGGTGGGATGAGATTTGACATCAGAAAAAATTTTTTGTTAAGTTCTAGAATTGCACTGCTCAATATGGTAGCCAGAAGCTATCTTTGTATGTCTATTTAAAATTAAAAAATGTGGCTCCTCAGCCACATGTCAAGCAGTCCATATTCACATGTAGCAGGTAGCTATCCTGATGGATTGGGCAAGTATGAAAACATTCTCATCACTGCAGAAAGGTCTATTGGACAGCGGTGTTGTAGGGGGTTCTGGGATCTTGGAAACAGGCAGCAACTGCTACAATCTCTGCCCTCTCTCCTCCTACCTCCAATGTATATTGAGAAAGGCCTTTTGGTCAGAGGAGGGAGAAGGGACAGGTAGCAGAATGGTGTCCAAGCACCCTGCTGGCAAGTTCTGAGTTCCAGAATGTTCCCAGTTGGGCTGATGTCTGAGTCTAAAGCCTGAATCCAACTTGGGGCCAGTGTGGACATACCTCAACTGAGCCTCTCTTCTGGAGAGGCTGAAGTGTGGTCTGTCTTACGGCCACTGCAAATAATTTGCCAATACATGTCAGTCTAAGAACCCTGGGGTTCCCTCACATTCAACCCAGGACCCCCAAATCTGTGCTCTACTTGGTCACCTGGAAGGTGGCAACAGACCTGGAGACCACCACTTGCCCACTCGCCCACCTCCCAAACCTGTCACAGGCATTTTTGAACCCCAACACCTATTCAACACACCAGGCTAGAGACCTCAGCTTAGCTGTCTTCTCTATTCCCTGGAATTTTGACCTCCACCTGGTAACTGTCACCAAGGACATGCTTCCTCGTCCCCATCAACTGTAGTTTTGACAAAATCTCTAGGCTCCCAGATCCTGAAATTCTTCCCTCACGCCCACCCCAGACCTGCTTCCTGGTGCAAGGGTAGATTATGGCCCTGCATGGCCCTGAGAAGCAAGCTGCCTGGGTTCAAATCCAGCTCTGTCTCTCAGTCTTCTCATCTGTGAAACAGAAGTGATTGCAAGGTTACTTCCCAGGGCATGAGGCCTGTAGGAGCCAATCTGCACCCAGGTGCAAGCACAGCACCTGGGATATACTAAGTGCTCTAAGACTTGAGACCCCAGTGTTCACCTGCCCCAGAAACATGAACGTCCCTTTGTATTCCAGATTAGAACAATGATTAGCTAAATATCGCTTTCCAGGTTTCATTATCACAGAATCCTTGGCCTGCATTCAACCTTCAATCCTGGGAATGTGTGGCTCAGATGTATTGTGTCACATGTTCACTCCTTACCCCAAAGAACCTCTGTGGAACAGGGAGGGAACAGTCGGGGAATGTTTCTATCAGTTTCCAGACAAAATCTGAACCTCCACCTAAACCCTGGCCAGGGGTGAGCAGTTCTGCACAGGAATCAGGAGTCACCCCAAACAGGTCTGAGCCTTCCCTGAATTGTCTTAATAGGGCCAAGTTCTTGGCCAGGACACCTTGCTTTTTGAAGGAACAAGATGCACTCTGAGGTGACGAAAGCCCCCATAAAAAGGCACCCGTACAAACCCACGCGACAACTGGCAGGCCATTTTTGGAAGGTTTGCCGCCGCCACCATTCCAAGTTTGTCAGACAACAGCAAAGAGGCTGGGATGGCCTAGTTGGCATCTCCCTAGGCACATGTGTGCCTGCGTCTCTCTAGTTCCTGCCCACTCCCGGGCTTTGCCAATGACAAGTCTCTTGTCACCCTCCGTCTCCTTCCCTTCTTGCCATCTCTTGGACCCCTAGCAAGCCTCTCAGGGTCTCCCACTATGGGTAGTAACAGGAGCTAAGTGCTGGGCAGTGCTGAGTGCACCAAACATGTTTTCCTTCATCTTGACAAAAGCCCATTTCACAGATTACAAAGCTGGGGCTGGTAACCAGCCTACCTGGTTAGTGTTGGAGCTGGGATTCAAGTTTGGGCAGTTGAATTCCGAAGGCCAACAAGGTTATCTTGCATCTGCCCCCAAAGGGATGATACTGTCCCCAGCGTCCACCTTCTGCACAATCCATCCACTTTCTATCCCAGAACTCTGACCAGGGGCAACACCAATCTTGGAATCTTTGGCCCCAGTCTGACATCCTAGTCCAAAACCCTGAAGGTGCCACTCCCTCTCAGAGACTGCCTGCCTCCAGTGTGCTACAGGCCATGGATCAAGGACACTGACGGTTCATCCTCAACCCTCCTAACTCCATGATTCTAGAAAGCCCACAGTCCATCACTGACTCCCATTGTGGTTCTATCCAGCCTATATTCTGTAAAACCAGGCCTCTAGAATCAAACATCAGTAATGGTTTAGGCAATATCCAAAGTTCTAGAATGACAGGGCTTCTTTAACTTCACCCAGAAGTGAACGAAGGCCGATAACCCACCCTTCAACCTTACACTGTGTCTCTACCCACTGACCAGCCATCCTCAATGCTGACGCCAGGCCAGGGTTCTAGAATACCAACAGGCCATCTTTGACAAGTGTCCTGGCTCTAGAATGACAACAGCTTACTTCCGGCTTTATAGGGTGGTTCTAGAGTACTGTCGGTTGACCTCCAAAGTTTTTAACACTCTTGTTCCAGAACGTTGCTCTTCAAATTTGAGCGTTAAAATCCTTCCAAGATTTTATCAAAAAGTGGATTCTGGCTCAGTAGATGTGGCAAACCTGAGAGTCTACATTTCTACAAGTTCTTGGGGGAATCTAAGGGTGGCGGTCTTTGGTCACACTTTTGAGCATCGGCAAGGGTCAAGAATAGGAATCCAACCTCAACTCTATGTGGCCACCTCACCTGCCGCTCCACTCATGACCTTGTAGCCTCAGGGTTCAGAAACACAGACCTACCCTCACATCTATAGTACGGAGACAAGAGAAAGCTGGCCAGCTCCCAATACCTGTCACTGCCTTTACGGGCTTACAAATGTACTTCAAAATTCCTATACTTTTCCCTTCACATAATAGAGTTTAATTCCCCTCTTCCTGAGTGTGTGATGGCTTAATGACTCTCCTCTAATCAGCGGTGTGGTAGAAGCAATGCTGTGTTGCCGCCCTTAAAAACCTCATAGCCTCCTGTCTGTCTGTCGCATCAGTTGCTCTGGGGGGAAGCCAGCTACGATGTCATGAGGACACTTAAGCTGCCCTACGGCAAAGTCCACGTGCCAGGGAATTGAGGCTTCCACCACTGGCCACAAGTGAGCCCCTTCATGAAAGATCCTGCAACCCCAGTCAAGCCCATGCCGGCCCCTGCTCTGGCTAACGACCTGTCCAGTAGCGCCCAGTTAACCAGCTCGCAAACTCCTGAGCCTTAGAAACCATATACTAATAAATATTTCTTGTTTTAGCTCAGTAGATTTTGGGGTGGGCTCATCTGTCACCCAGCCAGACCTAACAGATACAATGACCCCGGCCCAACCACCTCCCTGGGCTCCGGAAAAGTTATGTTCCAGTTCTAGACCCTCTGCCCACGCCCCCCCTGGGCCCACCCAGACGCCACAGGACAGAAGCACTCCAGCCGGCCAATAAAGTGTTTGCCGTTGGGTTTTCGTTTGGCTGGTTGTGTGTACACAGTGTATACAAGTTGAGTTGTACAGAAGCCCAAGAAAGAGCAAAGGACAAAGGGTGGTGGGGAGGTGGGGGCAGAGGGGTCAGAGAGAGGGGGAAGGGAGAGGAGACTGATAAAAAATAGAACCACATCCAGACGACAGTGGGGTGGGGGTGGGGGTGGGGGGGCAGACACAGACAAATCGCAGTAGAAAAGGAGTGGGAGAGGCAAAGGGAGGGGACCCTTCTCCCCCTTCTACCTCCCCAGCCCCCTGCCCCAGGTATGTACAATAAATAAGATTAAAAATAATTAACAAGATGCGTTTTCCCCCTCCCACCCGATGCTGAATGCCCTGGGGAGGGAATGGCCTTTAGCAAAGATCTTGGCCTGTAAGGGGCGCTTGGGGGGGAAGGGGTCCCCCAGCTCTCTGAAGCCACCCCACCCCCTTCAACCATACATAGACTTTTCCTATACATTATGTACAAGGTGGAGGGGGCGGGGGTTATGGCCGTGGAGGGGGGATCGGGGCAAGGCGGGGAGGGAAACCGTTACTAAATAGACATTTATACATATATATAAATAATTTCTCTGTACACCGGACAGTGGGAGGCATGGAGAGGGAGTGGAGAGGATTCGGGAGGTGGGGGAGTCAAACTCTGAACCCTGCCCAGTGGGGCAGCATGGACACACCCTGACCAATGACACCCCACCTTCCCCAATGACGGGGCCCAGGGGTTAGCTCCTGAGGACACAGTTCTGTCCCAATTCTTGGTTCAAGGAGGGGGTGGCTCCCCCCAGGCCAGGGTAGGGTCAGCCACAGCGGCTGTGGGCCTGTGCTTGGGCCAGCAGGTCGCTGAAGGAGTCGAAGAGCTGTTCCAGCCACGGCTGGTTCCGCATGCACTGCTGGACCACCTCCTCCTGACCCAGGTCCTCAGCACCGCCCTCGATGGCCAGGGTCTGCAGGGATTAAACATGGAGCTGGGGCAGGCGGCCGCCAGGGCCTGGGGATCAGTGTCCTGGGAGACCGAGGGCCCCAGAGACCTGGGTCCAGCCAGGGAGAAGCCCAGCGAGGGCAGAGACCTGGCACAGTGTGCACTGCGGGTGGGCTCACCTGGTCCCGGCAGCGCAGGAAGGTGTGGTACTTATAGTGGTGGAGCGAGTGGTACAGCGTGTAGTATCCTGACTTGTCCAGCTCGACCTTGAACTCCTGGGCAGCAGTGGAGAAGCCTCAGCTCCACAGCCTGGCGCTGGGCAGCTCTTTGT